TGCTCAATTTTGTGTTCCCTGCTTCTTAGTTTTTTTCAGAACTGCGATCTCAATGTTGCAGCTTTTATCAATTACGAATAATTTTTTCAAAGAGAGCAGATTTTTCTGGAAAATATTAAAAGGTTGATGCTCATAAATATTTAAGCCTCGGAAGACTATATAAGATTTTCCAAGAATTTTCAGCAATTTTCTTTTCTCTAATTCACTTTTGTTATTTCATAAATAAATTGACCATTATTTGGCTCTAAAACATTAATTTTCATATAATCTGTACTTCATTTTTCAATTTTGTAGAAAATTTAATTTTGAACAAATTTTATTTGAAACTTTTTTCGAAGAAATGCATCTACATCGAGATATTAATAGTTTTTGGTCCAAAAACACGTAAATCATATAATATATACAGTACGTTTTTCCTACTACGAACAGCAACTGTGCAATGAAAAATGTCCGTTGAGGAGAAATGTCCATTGTTAGGAGAAATATATATAAATAAAACAAAATTTTAAATTTTTTAAATATGCTTTATATTAACTTTATATTTTTACATTTTTGTTATAGCAAATTATTATTACAAGAGGAACATAAAACTATTTTTATTTTTTAAGCTTAAAATTACATATGCAATCTATTATTTTTAATTTTTAATCGTCGTTTGTTTTAAACCAATAAATTAGTTTTTAATAATTTGAGTTTCTACTTTACCAACAATAACTTTTCTGTTATAGCAGTCTCCAGATAAAATAAAAAATTTTCAATGTCTGGGACCTTTTTGTAGGCCTCTTTAATATTTTCAAGCTGAAGCTGAAGCTCGGTCTGAAGTAATACAAGGTTCATCAAAATTAAAAAAACATATTTTGCGAAAACTATTGAACCGATTTTAATGAACTTTGGTGTGTTTTATTATACTCTTAAAGTTTCTTTTTACCAAAATTAGAATGCCCTCGGAGCAATTAAAATATATTTAAAAATTATCCAAAAAACTTGATTATTTTGCCTTTTTTTCATCAATGCTATTTTGCAACATCAGTAATAAATTTAAACATTTTTAACTTACAGTATATTATGCAAAATTCAATTCTAAAACTTTTTCCTCTTCAATATTCTTCCAAAATGCATAGGTTCCAAGATATAAGTAAAAAACTCAGATAAAATAGATATTTTTTAAAATTTTTTAAACAATTTTGCAATTTTGAAAATGTTCCGAACCTGGCCAAGATCTAGGAATCTACACTTTTATTATGTGAGTTGCACTGAAGCAAAAATTAGCTTGCCCCCTCTTACATCCAAGAAGTAATTTCGACAGATCCGTCCTGGTCTATTATTACTTCTCAAAAATTTTACTGCCCTTGTTCGTCGTTTAGAAAGTTTAGCATTGGCTCAATGGAATCTAGCCTTAATAAAATGTATTGGAAATTATTTCTGAAAATAACCCGTATTTTATTTAATTTTTAATTATTACAATATCTGCTTTTTGTATGGGCATTTTTATAACGTATTAAGCCAATAATTATTCATACATTTACCAGTTTATCATAGTAAACTTGAAATTTAGAGTATGTGAAGGATACATGATACATTCCGAATTTGATTAAGCAGTGTTCTAATAATGATATTACTTGAGTGATTGGTATGCACGCAGAGCTATAGAGCTTGATAGAGCTCCACTACAAAGCAATATTGACTGAATTACTCCTCTACCTGCGTATACAATTTCCCTACAGGTATACACATGTATTTCAGATATAAAACCCAGCGGAACATGTTTCCTTAACTAGAATTATGATTACCAGAAAGTTGTATTTGAGCTAGTCGAGTTCTATTTATAAAAAATAATTATACAAAGTATTGTCACCGTCTTTAACTGGATGCAGATGAAACGAAGTCATGATATTCTCCATTTTGAATCACAGAAACTCTAGCATTGGAAATGATGAATATCACATTAGATGTGATATTGAAAGCAGTAATTTCGTTTCAGTCTGCTAGGAGGCACTATGTAGGATACCTAATGAGATTACTAAATGGTTTCTGTATCAATTCGCTAATGTGTCGCAGTATTGGTGTTATTACTATATGGAGCAGTTCTTACGCTTTTGATCGATACATCAAAGTACATGTTTCTGTTAATGGATCACATTGGCAGCTGATAACAGGTTGAAATAAATCAAATTACAAACGGAACAGGTAAACAATATCAGACTTTCTGTACAGAGTTTTAAAACTCTCAGTCGTTATTATTTTCCAAGTTTCAGACAATCTAGAAGTAGAATTCATAATTTCTCCTTAAATCCCTTTGTTTAAATAATATAAGTTTGGAGAAACAAACAAACAATCATTTGAGGATACATTTGGAGATCAAGATGAAGTCGAGATCTCCTAAATGTCAGTGCTTATGACATTTTTGCGCGCTCAAATGTTGAATAAATTTAATTAAAACTAAAAAATTTAATATTTTTAAAAATATATACATGAAAAAGCGTCGGTTTTGGCTCTTATGAGACCGAATATCCATTGTCAAGTGACACCTGCTGTCAGTAGAAATGTCTCCAAGACAATATTTCTGCCACAACTGAAGCTGTGATTCAAGAAAGTGACGATTCAGATTTAGAAAATGCTTGGCAAGTAGGATGCTCAGCCATAATTTCCGAGGAGTCCAAAGAGAGCTATGAGAAAATCTTCAAGCTATTTGCAGCGTGATGTAACAAGAAATATTTTGCAAATATCACAGAAAAGGTAATTCTAGTCTATTTTTTCAAGAAATTAAACCCTAAAGTCTCCAGAAAGCATATGGGCTGAATACTCTATGCTTAAAGCCACAATATTTTTGCATAAAGATGTTGATATTTTAAAATATTGTAGATATGTTAATTGCTTTTCTTAAGAGGAAAAATATTGGACATAAAGTAAAAAAATCAAGAATCTTTACCAAATAAATTTTTCTGATGAAGTCTATTTAGATATAAAAGTAGGACTGATATTTGGAGTAGCAGGAGCGTGAATAAATGAAGAACCATATAATACGAAAATAAATGACATTGAAGGTAAAGGTGCGTTTATAATTGAAAATTTTGGATTCCTCAACTTATACGGGACACGTATTCCGTAGGAATTCTGCTACTATTCTGACAAACCAAGGAATAGATATTTTAGGTCTTAAAAGGTACGGTGGGTGGTGTTCGTCCTCTGTAGCTGAGGGATATATCGAAGAAATTCGTTGGAAAACAAAAATCAATTTTCCAACAAGATTTTACATGGAAATTCTCGAGGAAATTCTACGATATAGAAAGAAATATTGCAGCCCAGAGTGTTATTACAAAATGCGCGGCAACTATAGCATCATCAGAAGAGAACGTTGTTCCGAATTCTATTGCCCCAATAAATTTTAATAATTTATAAAATTTTTTAATTTTGTCTTTAATTCTACATTTATTGGATTACTTATCGCCTCCTGATCTATAAGTAATCACTTACCGATCGCTATTTTGTAAACGTCACTTACAAATGTCTCAATAAATTCAGTAAAAGTGTCAAATTACCTGATCGTGCAAAAAGTCAATATTAGTGTGGTGAAAGAAAAATTTTAAGTATTTTACAAATTGTCTGGATCATTGTTTACGTATTTTCATGCACGCAGAAAAAATATCATAGTGTAAATTCAAGGTTATTTATGAGTGAAATTTTTTAGGACAGAATTTTGAGTGAATTTAAGATGTTAACAAGGAAGTAAGCTAATCAACACAATTTTTAGTTAGAAGAACTACCCTATCTGATAATGAGAACGAACTGAATATAAATCTGAATACTACTGAATATAATAATATATTAGGTACACATTTCTGAGTAGGGAGGACAAACGTTGTACAACAAACAGTTATTTAACAATTTACAATAAAATTTTCAATATGATAAATTTGATAATATAAGGATACTTTAAGTTTTCACGCATTTGATTCTATTTATCTCGAGAATTAATAACTCTACAGTTTAGATACTGAGAACCTTTTTTATATTAAATTTAATTTCCTATAAAAATGCATTTATTTTTTTGCTGTAAATCTAGTCAATTATGTGAAAAATGCAAAAATCGATAAAAATTAACCCTAAGATTTTGTAGCAGTGAAACCGTTCAAGTAATATAGATCCTACTATGTGCACCTTCAAAGCACAAAGATTTCCTTATAATTATCGCATATGGACAATAAAATAACGTGAAATGTGACTGAAATATGAATGAACATGTTAAATGAATAGGAAAATTTTAAAATCAAATAGCAAGTACTTAAAATTAAAATTAAGAGCTGAAATTTGGTGATGAATTTTCCAATGTTTAGAATAATATTTCCTCAATGAAGCGAAAAAAAATGTACGTTTCAAACGAAGCTTTAAATACAATTTTACTACTTTACTAGACCAGCCATAGTTAAAAACGGTTGCAGTTCCCCAATTTTTCAAAATAACCATATCAAATATTATATTGTTGGAAAGCACAAGAAAGGCATTTTTTTCTAGCTCATAGCTAACTATGATTTACATTTAAAACACTTGAAGTTTATGTTATAACTTGAAAACGAAAGTGAACACGAACAATTTGATCACACTGTTATATTAAAACTGCAAAAACCTGAAACTTTGTAATTTATTTTTATTTTTGTAAAACAAATAGCAACGGAGCTACACGCATCTGAAGGAGTTAACCGAATTCGAATTTTTCCAAATATCTAGTCAGCCATGACGTTTTTTCAAAAAAATAGAAGTAACATTTAATAAGGATCACAAAACTGCATATCTTTCCTCATTTAAACTTTTTTGTATCTCTGCTACTTTACCAGATCCCTACACTAAACATCCCTACACTAAACTCACCCTGTATAGAAATAAAGATAGATTCTTAAAAATAAAATAAAATGTAAAATTATTACACCAATATTCATATGGAACCTATTCCTAATCAGTACCAAAAATTGTCATAAATATTTGACAACTCCTATTCCTCCTCCTTAAAACCATTCCAAGTTCAACTCCTAAAAAAAATGGCAAACGAACGTCATAACAAGATATAAGGCGTGACACAAGATACAGGTCGTTAAAGTTTGAATAAATATTTCAAATTTATTTGACGTAGGTTAAATTTTATTCGGCCCATATAGCGGGAGATGTTAATATTTTTGTTAATAGCTTGTCTGTTTCTAGACTTTTTAACCCAATTCGATATTGTGTTTATTTTTAAATAGATTCTTAATACATAAATTAATTTGCTTGCTGGAAGCTTGAGTAATTGTTAAACAAATAAAATCCATAGAATTTAAAAAAATATTACGTGTTGATAACTACGTTTTCCGTTTGCCTAAAAAACTATGACCACGTATAAAACCTCCAAAATTCATAAAACTTTTAATTTTTCAAAATGCACTTGGTGCATCGTATAGTACTTACGTAATTCGTAAAGATGCAAGATCTAAAAAAATTTTACTATCATTGCAAAGTCTCTGGTAAGTATGTCATATAATTGTGTATAACTCAGCAACGACTGTCTAATGTTTATCTGTCCAATAGCGGGCTTAGTGTGTAATTTTTAGAAAATTAACAACAATTTAAAGAAAACATCGACTTTTGCATTAGTTTGTTAATTTCAAAATTATCTTTGTAATAAAAAGAAATTAGAGCAATGCTATTCTATAGAAGATTTCATTTAGAACAAAAATGATCTCTCGTTTTCTTCGCAAAGTACAAACCAACCGAAATATTAAAAGAAAACGAATAAAAAAATTGCTTGTGTTAAATGTGCTGTTCTGTATCATATTTGTTACGGGTTTGCGGAGAATTACTACCTCTGAACCCCTCTCTACTGGTCTATAGTAACAGTGTGTACAGCATCAACTGTCAAGGTGACATTTACAAGAAATCGAAAATAGTTATCCAAATATTCGTTAAAAATTGACCGTTTGTTAAGAGTGTTTTCACAATCGACTTATTGTACTTAAAACAACTATTATCTGTAAAATAGATGTTGTTGGTATTGTTACCTTTTATACATGGGTCATCACAAAGCAGTTATCTCGACAACAGCCGGGTCATTCGCCAGAAATTAAGAGGGTATATGAAACAAATAACAAAGTTACTGTTCTGCCGATAAAAACAAATAAATAGGTAACTCACCGGGGGGTTTCACTTCCCCTAACTTTAGGACTCAAGGTATATCCTTCCAAATGTTTCCATTATATCAATTAGTAAATATCTATCATTCTTTCTTCAACAACTAGCTAGTGTCACCTGAAATAAGTCGAGGCTCCCCCAGACGCCAACTAGTTAGTATCCCAACTACCGAGTGTGTGAGTTATACTATTATTATGCCACCTACCTCAACACCACCCAGTATGTGTCAATCAAAGCGCATGTGAGACCCCGTAGACCTTACAAGGCACACTTTGAAGGAACCACAGCCATAAAGACCGGGAACACGTGGCATGCCCTGGGGCTTTCAAAAACATAAACGAGTATGGCATATTACTCACAAATTCACAAATCATTAAACAAATATATTCAAGCTAGCACATAGATATAAAATCGACCATATTCGGGCGCTGGCCAGGCACCACTCTCACAAAGAATAACCTCTCTCAGTTTCGGCGTCCCGGACTACATTTTTGTATATACAGTACAATTCCTCTTAACCGGCCACCTCGGGACTTCACACCTGGCCGGTTGCCATTTTGGCCGGTTAAACCGACGTGTAGCTACATAGTTTGTATATGTATGTATTTCCCGGTGGAAAAAACACTTACAAGATTTTATGAATAGAAACGCTTTGTTTTTAACATATATTTATCTAAATTCATACATAGTAATACGTTTGTACATAGTATTTATGTAAAATTAAAATCTAAAATTTTTCTAAACAACTTTGAGGTTATTTTTAAAAAGTCTGTAATCTTCTTCTGTTTTTTCACCTTCAGCGAATTATTGAATGCATAATCCCTCCATTTTCTCATTACCAAGAGGTCTAAAGCAGTTGACTCCCGTTGCTGCTCAATGTACTTCAAAGCAACCTCCATGACATTTCTGGCATCATCGTGAGAAACTTTTTCCTCCTCTTCATAGTCATCAGTTTCAGTATCATTTTCCTGTGGTTCTTTGGTAGCTAATATTATGATTTCATCGTCATTCAAAAATTCATTTTCAAGATTCTCGTCACAGTTTTTTATCCAATTCTCTACATCTTCTGGCTGCATTGTGTCGTTACCCGATAACTTTTGAAGATCTTGAAGAATGGATTCGTTTTCTACTTCCTCGCCCCCTGAAGGATTCGCATTCGCAACAAGTTTCTCGATGTCTGGCCAAAGTTTTCGCCAAGATTTTACGAATGTAGCGGAAGGCATTTCTTGGAAGGCCATAGCTAACATGTAGATCACATCCTTAATGTTGATTTTCTTAATGATTTCCAGAAGGCCCTTGTCTTCACTTTCCGAATATTGCAAAATTTCGGAAACAAGTTTACGTCTGTACGGTTTTTTTAAGCTTTCAATCACCCCTTGGTCCATGGGTTGTATTAAGCTGGTCACGTTAGGAGGAAGGTAAATTATTTTTATGTCAGCTGTATGACAGGTCAGGTCTTGAGGATGAGTTGGTGCATTGTCCAAAATTAGGACTGCTTTGATAGGCAAGTTTATATTCTTTAAATGTCCTATTACCTTTGGAACAAATTCTATATTAAACCACTCTTTAAACAAGTCTGTGCTCATCCACGCTGATTTATGTGATCTGTAGTACACAGGGAGGGACGATGGATTCAAGTTTTTGAACGCACGTGGCTTAGCCGATTTGACGAAAAAAAAATGACGAAAAGAGGTATTTTATGAGTACCTGCTGCATTTGAACAAACCGCTACTGTAATACGTTCTTTATTTTTCTTAAAACCAGGAGCCGACTTTTCGTGACTGCTAAGAAAAGTTGTTTCTGGTAACATTTTAAAGTTTATTCCTGTTTCATCCATGTTATATACTTGTTCAGGAGTTAATTTTTCTCTTTCCACCATTTCCAGGAATTTAATTTGGAAATCGGTTGAACCAGAAATATCGGCAGACATTTTTTCACCACTTACATGTGCGAAATGAATTCCATGTCGCTTCTTCCATCTGTTAAGCCAACCATCGCTTGCAACAAATTCGCCTCCGTTTTCAATTTTTTTGTGAATAACCAAAGCTTTTTCTTTCAAAATTGGGCCGCCAATCGGTGTACCCCTTCGACGTTCTTGAATAAACCATATCCACAAAGCTTCATCTACAATCTCGCAAAACGGTTTTTTTTTTCGTACAACGGCTTGACAGATTTTTATCCGATTCCATTTTTGAACAAAAATCCTCGATGGAACGCCTTTCTTTTCGCCAGTCGTTTACAGTGCTTTTTCCAACATTAAGTTCAGCACAAATTTTTGCCACGGATTCACCATTATCAATCCGTTTTAGCGCCTTAAGACGCATGTCCATCGAAACTACAACTCGTTTACGCTTTGCACTCATCGAAAACGAGAATAACACAGTGATACACGAATACAACAATTGACTGATCAAAACTTTTAACAAATATGCACATTATGTACTACCGCGCCCCACTCTGTGCGCCCCACTATCTGCGCACCTGCGCATAGTGTTAAGAATGTCGTCGTGTATTTGTAAGTAAACAGGCCAGTTAATCCGTCGGCCGGTTAATGCGAAGCCGGTTAAGAGGGATTATACTGTACCCATAAATTACATTACCCCAAGGGCAAATAAATACTTGGCTGGCGCATTCCGTGTATGCAGCTGAGGTTTGATTCAAAGCAACCACGATTTCATAATAAAATATATATAGATTCGTATTATTACAATACTTTAAAAATAAACAAGTGTTACATATCGCCGTTCATATTTTACTTCGATCTCACCTCGTACGAACATGTCTTTTTGGTAACACTTCCACGTCATTTTCGGTAAACAGTTCGCCCGGTCACAATATCTAAAACAAGTTTCAGCCAGCCAAGCAGCGTTTGATGTATAGGAAGGTGTTTGTATAAACAGATTTGCCCTTAATAAGCCGGCCCATATCGGGGACGATAATTTATTTTACGCCGATCCGTCAATGTATTTGCACGACCCCCGCCGCCAGAAAGGTGCTCCTGTCGGCAACTTCAAAGGATTAATTCAATTAGCTTTATCCTTCATTAATTAACGGGCGTGCACATTTTGATTACGATGCAACTTCATAAATATTCAACCGAACTGAATAATATTGTCACACAATTTGGTTAATGAACTGAATACTCCGCGTTCACACTATTTACATTTGTCCCTTTCCGTCCAGCTTTTGGTATAAATTATACTGATAAAGCGATCTAATTCCATTTATTTCTGCCCTGACAGTAATTGTATATTGTAATTTAATATCGAATCTATAGCGCGGATTCATTAAACGAGGGGCTGACAAATTAATGAGTGCAGGAGAACGCGTAAGGGGGAGTAATTATTACGGGTATTTGGATTTCTGTAGACAAAACATGCTCAGAGCTAATCAAACGCCCTTTGTTTGCAAGAGATGCAGTTTAAAATGTTTAATACATCCCCTACTATTTCTGAATGCGTAAAAGCTGAATTACATTCAAAAGCGAGACCAAATTCATTAGGATCTATGCAAAATTGATCGTTAGGTTTCCATTTTATTGTACAAATTAATAATCGGTAAAACCCAAAGGTTCCACTTTGTTTGGGTTATGGACACATCTCTGCATCTTCAAGTAATGTAAATAAACATCGGTACATGCGAGGAGACAATGAACGTAAAGGGACAAGCGTTAGGGACTTAGGAATCTTACCGTGTTAGGCATATGAGCTAATTCATTGTACTCTGTTGTAAAGAATATTGTACTAGTATTTCATTAAAGTTGTACTCTTTTCCGAAAATACTAATTTCTAACATCAGATGTGGGATAATGGTAGCGCAAGATATGTATAAAGCATTATTATTAATATCTACAGTTTAATTTTCGGGATTCGTCTTTCCCAATGATGTGGAAAAGGCATTTATTTGTCCTATTCTGAAAAAAAGTGATTAGGGTAACATATCTAATTACACAGGAATTTTCTTATTGTGTAATTTTTTAAAAATATTTGAGACTACGTTGAAATTAGCAAGGTTTGGTTTTTCTAATGCATTAATGAAACTATTTTTATCTTACTTGCCAGACAGACAATTTATGGTCAGATACCGAAACTTTGTTCCGATTCGTTTTTCTCCAATGTCGGGGGTACTTCAGGGTTCCAACTTGGGACCTCTATTGTTTTTATACTTCATTAACGATTTCCGGATATAGTTTCTTGTGAACGTTTGCTCTTTGCTGATGACTTTAATTGTTTTCTAAGATTGCCATCACCTGCAGCAATGCATAAATTACATGACGATGAGGTGTAATTTAAATCATGTCAGTATCAATATGCATGATTTATACACGAAAAACTATTTTTATTACATCAGGTGCTTTTAAAACATACGGTTTTCTGTATCGCAGTAGCAGCGACTTTTCTAATATTCAAACGCTTAAGTCTCTATTTTGTACGCTCGTTAGGTCGAAAATTCAATATGGTTCCATTATATGGTATCCGATTTACGAAGTTCATTGTCAGAGATTAGAATCTGTTCAACGTCAATTTCTAAAATTTCTTTGTCTTCATTAAGATGGATTTTATACACCTTGCAGCTTTAGTCATCCAGATTTACTAAGTAGATTCGATTTTGAATCGTTGGAGATTCGTCGTGATATTTCCTTGATGCTTTTTTGTATAATCTTCTGCAGGGTAAAATTTATTATCCAGTTTTACTAAGCAAGATAAACTTTATTCTACCTTAGGCTAACAGAAGACAATACGATACCTTTGATTGTTCTACTCCTAGATGTAACATTTTAATTAAATGTCCTTTAATCGACTTCGTTCGTGCGCTCAACTTCGCTCTCGTGGGCAATAGACAACTTACCGCACTTATACTACAAAATTAAGTAATATTTACATATTTACATGGCTTTCCTTGACTGTTTTTTGCTACATGAGATAATATACTAATTTTCGTTAATTTTGAACACCCTGTACATGAAAAATGAAGCGTTTTCGAACACATGTATCTATAGAGACCTTTTATGTATTAATTTATGACTTAGAGTATGCCATTGAGGATAAATTAAGCATTTCAGTTACATTGTGTATATAGCATTTACATTTTATTACAATTTAAGAAATTTTATGGAATTTGTTTGATCCTCAAAGTAATATTAAAATTACGAAAGTTAATAATAAAAAGTCTATGTGGTTTCAAAGATGTTCTACACTGTAAAAACAATTCCACTCAGTTTTATTTCAAATATTATCGCAAATGAGTAAAATTATCAAAATACTCAATATTGAGTAATGTACTCAATAATTCACTCACCCCGTACCTTTATTGTTTATTGCTTTCACTGACACCGGTTTTTTTTACAGTGTAAATGTTTAACAACAAAGAGTGACTTTCAAATAATTACAAAATTAACTGTTTGTAGTTACAAAATAGACACTATTTTTTTTTTAATCTGCATACTACCGTGTAAGTAAGTAATAAGGTAGGACGAAGCTATTTTATTTGCTTTTTTACATTAAACGTTGGCAAAATAGTCCTGGGAAGGAATTTGAAATCGATTTAAAACGTGTTTATTTGTAGAGAGGATACAAATCATCCTGGCAATCCGTGGCACTTAGTGGGGCGATTTTTCACAGGTGATTTACTTAAAACGAAAGGAATAATAGATATCTGGGGAACCATAGGCCGGATTAAACTTGGAATTTGGTTTTCCACTATTATATCCCGGTACACCCCTCCTGAATCCATTATCATTACTTATTGCCAATTATTTCCCTCATCCGTTATCTCTTTATTCTATTTTTAATTTAGAAGGGGCAATTTCTTAAGGATGAATAATTTGGCCTATCTGTTAAACTGGGTTTAATTCGCTATGATTATAAAGGGTTTATTTTCTTGATAAATTGGCGCATATTTCAGTTAAAATTGAATCAGAAGTGTGGATATTAATTTGATACGGGCCTACTATTAATTGCAGGTCATAAATTGCGACAACAATTGATATAAAAATATGCGTATACAGGGTCTCCCGAAATTAGAGGACAATATTTCTACAAGGTGTTCTATGTTGAAAAAGATTACTTTTTCTTCATATAAACGTGGGCGTGGCTCCAAAAATTCTTCCTAAGGAAGTTATAGCCACTTAAAGGACCACTGTGATGATTTTTTCTAAATAACTCCGAAACAAGTTGAAATAAATTTATGAAATTTAATAATTATCTAAACTCTTACGTGCTCAGTTCGCTACTAAAACGAAATTTTCAAATTTTCATCAGTACGTTCAAACAATGATTTATCAAAAAATTTTTATGCTTTGACTTTTTTACTTTTGACTGAAAAGTATGAAATTTCAGTTTTTTAGTAAAAAAGATACCTACTCTTAGGTAGGATATTCCATTTTTGTGTAAAATTCGTTAAAAAATAATGTTACATGTGTACATTAAAAAAGAAATGTTTTATTTATAATGTGCAGTCAATTTAACTCGACTTGCAAAGTTCGTATCCAAGACTCTGAATACATGGGTTCCTCGTAGCTCGTTTCTACATCTGTAATGTGTTTGCAGCGGTGGTCATGGTTACCGTCGTGCACCAGTTAAAGACGGAGTGGCAGTAGCTTTTTTCGTCCTATTAAGCGTAATTTGTTTACGTGTGGAGTACAATTCTTTTGCCTACGTATTGTTTCTTGTGTGTTTTTTAAAAAATTGGAGAAGTTTAAATTGATTGTAGCACTTGCAATGCTACCTACTGAAAAATCAAATCAGATATTTTAACTGAAATTTTGCAATACAAGCGTAAAATAAATCATTTTGTTATACAAGTACAAAAGTTAAATTTTACACTGAAAATTAGGTAAAAAATCGCCACTATCGAAACGACAGTAGATAAAATACTCTTCTTCAAGTACTCAGTATGAAGAAATTATACATAATTTATATTAAATAAATT